CGAGGTTCCAAGTGTTAGACGAACACGACTCTCCACAATGGTATGATATTGTCCACTTTGAGCATAAGCTCTCGTGTTGAGGTTCCAAGTGTTAGACGAACACGACTCTCTATAACGGTATGATATTGTCCACTTTGAGTATAAAGCTCTCGTGACTTTGCTTTGGGCTTCCCAAAAGGCCTCACAAATGGAGAGATTATTCTTTGTTTATAAACACGTAGAGAGTATTCTTTGTTTATAAGAAACCTATGTGATATCCACATCATCCATCACCGTTTATAAACCCATGATCATTCCCTATATCAAGGGACGTGAGACTTACATCATCTACATCATCTAACGTGGAGTAGCAATTTAGCAAAGGATTCGAAAGCCCGAAAATTCATAATGCACCACCAGTGTACTTCTCGTATTCTCAATCTACAAATTCTCGACGGCGAATCATTTGCAAAACAAATTCCAGAAGCCGCTTCTCTCTTTTTCTACTTCGATCTTCACTGAAACTGTCGGACTTTCCAATCTCGAAAAGCTGAAGTTCTTAATCTTCTCAAGAGGTGCCTTTTGAAATTTCATTTTTGATGTATGTAATCAGCTTGAACTGCGTACATTGTGTGTTCTGTCATGTCCTACTTGCAAAAACTTACAAAAATTTCCGTTGTTTCTTCTTCGATTATTGCTGATAGCAATTTCAACTCATTTCGTTTCATGTATTGGATAATTGGATCTTCCCCTGTTGCCTCGAACCCTAGATTTTATCGCACTAACAAGCCTTCCCAAACGGGAGAATGTGGAAATTCCGGGGGAATTTCGACTAGGGGTAGCAGAAATGGTAATCGGATGATAGCGCAAGAATCGAGTAATTGGAATATTTGCATTCTACTAGAGGGATTCAGTTTATGGATGCTGAGAAAACTTCTAGGAAGAGTTGAACATGAGAGCGATATTGGGCGATCAATTACTCGATTCTTGCGCTATCATCCAATTAATGAATTCGAGCCTTTCTTTGAGAGTGTAGGCCTGCAACCTGCAGAGTATAATGTGTTTCTTCCCCGTGATTTGATGTTCTTGAGTGATGATAGTTTATTGCTAGAGAACTATAATGTGTTGTGTAACCATGGAATTGAACGAAATAAGATAGGGAAGATCTACAAGGAGGCGACTCAGATATTTCGGTATGACTACGGCGTTTTGGTCTCGACTTTGAAAGTGTATGAAGAACTTGGTCTCAGCCAAGCTAGTGTAGTTAAATTTGTTGTTTGTAGCCCTTATCTATTGGTTGGTGGTGCTAATGAGGGGTTGGAGAACATTGGATTTGAATCAAGCTGGGTTGAAGAACAGCTGAAGGATGGTAATTCCTATAACTGGAAACAAATTCTTAGGCTGCTTGTCTTGTTTGAACAGAGGGGTTGCAGTAATGAAAAACTGGCTGATTTAATCAGCCAACATCCAGATTTTCCTTAATTGGGTTGTTACTGAAAATGGGATCCTCAATGATCCAGATATGTTCTGTGTTCGTGCAATTCCCTCGAATCCGAGTTGGTAAGTTTGTTTTGAATATAAGGCTATGCCTTTTGTTTTTCAATGAAATCGACATGGGTATGCAGGAGATACAACACCTTTTCCAGTCTCATCCCTTGCTATTGGGATCATTTACTCTGAAAAAGACGAACAGCTTACTCGTTATCTCGAATGTTGGGAAGAAACGGCTTTGTTGATTTATCTTGGAGAATCCAGAGGAATTGAAGAACTGGAAGCGCGGGACAAGAGTTACACCGCTACCAGATACTGGAGAGGCGATGAGATCAAGGCAACAGAAAATTCGATTCTTGTTAAAATTAGGACTAAAGGAAAACTCGAGTAAGATGAAAGAAGCACTCAAGGTGTTTCGAGGGAAGGGAGCAGAGTTTCACAATTAGTGGGGCGAATGCGCCCTGAGAAAGTCATTGAGGACGATGACTAAATTAAGTGGGGGAGAATGTCACAATCTGCAATATGATTGTGACCCGAGTAAGTCATCGAGGACGATGACTAAGTTAAGTGGGGAAGAATGTCACAACCATACTTTGAAGAGAGTAAGTTGTGACCCTCACGCCGTGACAAGCAAAGTGGTGTCCCTCAAGAGAAGCACATCCGGCCATATGCGGCAAAGTGGTGTCCCTCAAGAGAAGCACATCCGGCCATATGCGGCAAAGTGGTGTCCCTCAAGAGAAGCACATCCGGCCATATGCGGGCCAACATAGAAGAGTGCCCGAGGAGGACGATGCATAATCTAACACACCACCACGCAAAGTGGGCATTGAAGACATGTTGAGACATAAGCAAGACAGAGACATCATAATAGACATGAAGGACAAGATAGGCTTGTTGAAGGGCCGGGTAGGGCCCCGGGCCTTAACCTCAAAAGTCAGGGTTTCGGAAGGAATTTGGGCATGCGGTTCGGGAGTTAAGTCCGTCTATATGAAATATGAATGCTCGCCAAGTTTGGTGTCAATCGGACATCGGACGGACAATGCACGACACCGTATGACACCTCACCAAAATCGTGTCTACATCTGGTAGAATGAAAATGGCTCAAAATGTACGCCCACTTTGCGTGGTGGTGTGTTGGATGATGCATCGTCCTCCTCAATCGCATCATGACACTCTTCTATGTTGGCCCGCATATGGCCAGATGGGCGTCTCTTGAGGGACGCCACCTTGCTTGTCATGGCGTGAGGGTCACAACCTACTCTCTTCATAGTATGGTTGTGACATTCTCTCCCACTTAACTTAGTCATCGTCCTCGATGAGTTACTCGGGTCACAATCATATTGCAGATTGTGACACAGAGCTCCAAGAGCGGTTCGATTGTATTGTTGAAGCTGACATTGATGAAAAGGATGTTTATAAAATGATTGAAGTTTCTCCTCAAATCCTTAACCAAAAGAGGGATGTAATAGAAGAAAAGATAGATTTTATTGTAAATAATTTGGGGTTGCTAAATTTCCCATCTTTCCTATACAGCTCAGAGGGTGTTCTCAATGTATAGTTGGCTCAAGGAACAAGGAGCAGCCGACCCTGCATTGGCGTTGAGCACCATCGTTCCGTGTTCGGAAAATACATTTCTAAGACAGTATGTGAATCATCATCCCGGGGCCATGGAAGTTTGGCAGAATTTAAAGAGAGAAATAGGTTTGAATTCTTTTACATCTCGTGCTCGTTAGACTATACTCGTGCTGTTATACTGCATTTTTTTTCAATAATTCATGGATTTGAGGGCTAATCTGCTGTAAAGATCAGTGAAAAAGTTCGATTTTTTGGGAAATGACAGTCGAACTTCGAAATGCTGCATCATTTTCACAAAGTAAGTTCACATACTAAATAGTTTGTTGCTTGCAGTTCCTGTGAAACTTGTCTTTCTTATTTGCAGGTTTTGATGGTCCTCTTGGGGGAGTGTAACACAACACTGTTTTGTTCAGTACTGGCTATTCGAGGTTCCTTTTACATATTCTTTAGTCACTGCATATGAAATCCTCCTACGTAACGGCCAAATCCCACCGCCAGCTAACAGATATTGTCCTTTTTGGATTTTCTCTTTTGGACTTTCCCTCAAGGTTCTTAAACGTGTCTGCTAGGGAGAGGTTTCCACGCTCTTTTAAGCAATACTTCGTTCCCTTCTTTGATGTGGGATCTCACCATCCACCCACCTTGATGGTCCAGCGTCCTCGCTGGCACACCGCTCGGTGTTTGGCCAGTCACCGGATGGTACAAGACACTGGTTGGAGTAGGGGTAGACCTCTCCATAGTAGACGCGTTTTTAAAACCTTGAGGGGAAGCCCGAAAGGAAAAACCTAAAGAGGACGATATTTGCTGGCGGTGGGTTTATGTGTTGTTGTGCTAGTCACCGAATGGTGCTAGTCACTGAATGGTACAAGGCACTGGCTGGAGTAGGGTAGACCCTCTCCATAGTAGACGCATTTTAAAACCTTGAGGGGAAGCCCGAAAGGAAAAACCCAAAAAGGACAATATTTGCTAGCAGTGAGTTTGGGTCGTTACATCTTATGTGCTGTTGTGTCAGTCAATGAATGGTACAAGGCACTGGCAGGAGTAGGGCTAGACCTTTCCATAGTAGACGCGTTTTTAACTTGAGGGGAAGCTCGAAAGGAAAAACCCAAAGAGGACAATATCTGCTAATTGTGGGTTTGGGCTCTTATATGCTGTTGTAGCAAAGCATTTATATATATCTCATTCTATCAACAACCAAGTCTTTGATGGCATCGTTAGTACTTATGGTGGTATTTCTGTTGATATGTGACGAGCATAGTATCGGTGTCTACCGCCTTGCTAGTTTGCACTCGAGGTAAACAAGTTATTTGGTTTGGCCTGTTTCATGATATTTGGTTTGAAAGAAGAGGTAAGTTATTGAATGAAGCTATCGCTTTGTAAAACTATTATCCAATAATTTCTTCTAAAGTGAGATGCGGAGTTTCGTTCTAGTATTTGTGTTCTAATTCCTTATTTGGTTATTACTTGATACTTGAAGAGGGCCGGGCAGGGTCTCGCGCTATAACATCAAAAATCGAGATTTCTATGAGCTTTGGCATGGAGGTCGGGAGTTAAATCCGTCAATATGAAAGATGAAAGCTCACCAAATTTAGTGTTGAAAACGGACTATCTACCCGGACGTATGTTTGCTCACCAAAATGTACCATAGGGGAGACGTATTTGAATTAGAAGTTACTCGTCTAACATTAATTTTTTAATAATTTATTTTAATAAAAAAAAATGAAAAATTGGCCGGGAAATATGAGAGCGGTGAAATTAGTTTGGCGGTCGGAAAAGAAGAGGAGGGATTCAACCTTTTCGATGACGTCAACGTGACACGTGCATGTCACGTGCGCTTTTTTTTGGTAAGATAATAGCGCGCGGAACCCAACGGGAAGAATTAGCCAATTTGAAACATTAATTTAAAAATCCGCCCACATTTTATTTTGATTTTATTTAATTATTTAATTATTTAATTATTAATATCTTACTGGCTCCACTCTTCTCCGCTAATTCCCCTATCTCTCTAATTTTCCCCGTAGCTTTAAAGAAACCTCGATTTCCTTCCCCGCCATAACTCTCCGACTCCACACTTAGGGTTTCCACCTTCTTTTCTTCTTCCAATTATTCTTGCGTTCTCTCTGATCTCTGCAACTCTTCTTCCACTGCTTGCTTTCTTTCTCGATTTACTTTCTCGATCTCGATCTGTACTTCCTTACAATGGATATGCGCAAGCGAGGGAGGCCTGAAGCTGCCTTCAATTCTAATGGTTCCTTTAAGAAGCATAAGCAAGGTTCGTTTCTTTTGTTTTCTTTTTTGTTTTATTTTCTGTTTTTGGGATTGTGTTCGTTGTTCTGTTTGTTGGAGTGTTAGTTCGATGCTTTGTCTCGTTCGTTTGTACCACTAGTTTGAGCTTTATCTGGTTGCTTATATCTGGGAGGAGAGAACATTTATGTGCTTAGCTAGTGCTTTGCTTTGTTCGTTGTTGGGGGAGGATGGTTTTTTGGCCTCTGTTTGTTATTCGTTTCTTTTCTGAAGTTGGAACTTTTCGCTTCTCACTGCTTCTTCTTTTATTTGTTTCTACGGATTTTTGAGTTAGTGGCGCCACGTGTTCGCGCTCCGTGATCTACCCGTATGTATGCGTTTGATCCGATGTCATTTTACTATACTTCTTCAACTAGGGATAACTGGAATACTCCTTTAGTAAGTGCATCTGCTTTAAGTAATTGAAGACGGTTGTTGGTTGTAGGTTATGAGAGGGGTTAGATATAACTAGTGGTGTAATAGGAGGGTTAGTAATTGGACGACTCTTAGAATTGTGCCTGTTAGTGGTGAGATGTGGGACCATGTGAGGGTTTTAGTCTCCATTGTCATCCTTTAGCAAAGTGTGCGTAGGGTTCAGTATCGAATTACAAGTATGGTGGAGCGTGGAGCCTGCCCTTTTCTTGTTTTCCATCACTTCTGTGTTTTTCATCAACATTCTCAACAGACCATGGTTTGGTCTCTCTCCACTTTTAACACCTCAGAATTGATCATTATTGCTTTATCCAGTAGTATGTTGAGAATGTTGATGAAAAGCAAAGATTTGGGAAAGAATCTCTCTTGTTGAGTGCCTCTTATTTCAACTATTCTCCTTGGACTAGAATCTAAAATTGGTAATGCAGATTTGAATCCAATTTTTTTCCATTTATTGTGAACTTGAAATTGTCGTAAAAAAATTCCAATCAGTTTGATCCCTCCTTTTGTTTTATTTAATGTTCTGCCTTGATCCACTTGGCTACATAAGCCCCTACCCCCGCACAGGTTTAAGTCTCCAGTTTTTTGTTCTTTATTCTTGATTACAACTTTCAAGTCTTATGGTAGAACCCTTGGTTTTTAAAGCCCTAGGATTGTTGAAACTCAGAAGTACTGATCACCATCCATTAAAATCGCTAGTTACCCTGTCATTAGGTGACTAGCTCCTCAGCCTTCCAGCATATTTGAGTTGTATACACTTTGAAGGGAATATGGGTTGAATATGGAAAAGATCTATTTAAAAAATTATGACTTTAGGAACAATTCCTGAATATCTTGTTCATTTGCTGCAATATTTTTTCTTTGAGCGATGAGCGAGGGAAACAATTGTTTGCATCATATTTATTTATGGAAAAGGTACACTTTGGATCAAGAAAAAAAAAATTAAAATTGTTCTCGGAACAATTTTATTTTATCCTTAGATCAGTCATTAAGCTTGGAGTGGAGGGTTAAAATACTTCATCTACCATTGACAAAATTTGGATCTAGGTGGTTTTTTTTTTTTTTTTTTTTTTTTTTGTTTAAAAAATAAACTTTGTTTTGGTGTTGGGCCTTATTGTATATATAAACCTAGGTAACCCCACAATTCAACTGAAACAGTTGAAGTTACCAATCATATATTTAGATTGTTACCCTACAGCAACAGAAAGCTACAAATTATTGAGTAATTGTTTTAGTTGCCTAAATAATTTAAGTGTGAAGATGTATTAAAGTATTAGAGTAAAAATCTTAACAACTGTAACTGAGAAAGAATAATTAATGTTTTGCAACAGAACTGGAGTCCTTATCAACTGTAGGGGGCAAATCGAAGCCATGCACCAAGTTTTTCAGGTTCATATCTTACCTACCTAAATAAGTATTTAAGCTGCATATTATCTCTCCCTAATCATCTAAACTTGTTGTAAGAATTTAATTGATCATGAATTACAAGATAAAGCTGAGTAATTGCGCCTCTGAAAACTGGGAATACAGGTATAAATTATTACTCTAAGCCTTCAACCAAGTCAATAAAACACAAAACACAGAGGCTCTCTCTCTCTCTGTTTCATTTATATTTTGCACTGCACGTGGGATACCATCTCATTCTCATTGGTTACAAATTAGTTTGATCCGTTCTTTTTTATTTTTTTTTATTTTTTTTATTTAAATTTTGGTTGATTATTATTCCCTTTTGGTCCAGTTCTATTTTACTAGCTTGCGTCCATCATTTATCTTTGTAATGAGGTTTTGAGCCCTAATTTTTTTTTGTCTACACGTCTCTTATATGAATAGAGATGACTTATCTTCCTTTCCCTTGTGAATCTCTAGTAGAGAGAAATATGGTCAGCGTCTAACCTTTAAGCACAAATTGTTTTTTAATAAAAGAAGAATAGAGGAAAAAAATCAATTTTGTACCCCTAAACTTTGAGGCTTGTATCAAATAAAACTCCAGAGTAATAATTGTATAAATTTGATTCCTAAACTTTCATAAGTGAATCAATGTAGACCCTATATTAGTGAGTTATAACAATTTTAACTTAGTTTCATTTCAAATCAACTCATAGTTGGGTAAATATAATTCTTCTTCCAAAAGTCTGCTAAAATAGTAGGAAAACGTATCACGTAATTCTTCCTTAATAAGTAAAGAAAAATAGAGGAAGAAGAAAAGATGGAACCACTCATAAATAGTGAGAGTGCTACTATCCATTTGATTCTTCTCCATTTGATTCTTCTCTATTAATGCATTAAAGGTCTTAAAATAGAATCCTAATGAAGGGTTTAAATTGATTCACTTGAAAGTTCAGATTTTCATTGATACAATTATTAGTTTGAGGTTTTAATTGATACAACTCTAAAATTTGGAGGTGTAATTTGATTTTTATCTCAAAAAAAAAAAAGAAAAGTTATTACAGTTGCCTTTGCATCGTTTTTCCTTCTAGCAGCTAATTTAACTAGAGCATGCCATTTGCTTCAATTTTTAGTACCTCTATTTAATATTCTTCAGTATATTGATGGCTTGTAGAAATATGGGTAGAAAGTATGGGTGGAGGGGTTGAGGCTTAAAAGTATTTTGTGATCTGTGTTCCAATTTGCCACATTGTATTCCGTCGATGTTTGAGTTGTTTGTTATCAGCTGTGAGTTTTCTAGTATTAATGGATCATGCTGATGGCTTGTCCTTATCTTTGTCTTTGTTGGCACTCCATGTCTTTCAATCTCTTTTTTTCGCCGCTATAAATCATTGTAAGCGAGCATCTTTATTCTTTTAAAAAGGACACAGGCCTCTATTTTTTCTTGTCCCAGTAACAATAGATTTTCTAATTGTTTGTGACGATCTACTAAGTGCCTATAGTTTTGAATTTCTTGAATGGATTAGACCACTCACCAATAGATTTATTGTCTGCTTATCTCGTGAAAAGTGTTAAGTTTTCATATCTTTCTCCCAAGATTTCAACTCATGTCTGAAATAGATTTTCTTGTAGGGCAATAATTAGCCATAAGAGCCTCCTATTCACTCTCCTGATTGCATTGTGTTTAATCTTTTATCAAGATGTGAAGATTTAGTTTGGGTTATTTGATTTGCTTAAGCTTCTCTTTGAGGTGTGGCAATTTGATTTGGTTACTTGATATGCTTTAAACGCTTGCCAACCTTATACTTGATACACGGGGTCCTACTTAAGATACTAGGTTGAACGTTTAAAAATAGTTTTCTGTTACCAGGTATAATTCTTTTTTTTTTTAATATGGATAACCTGTTTGGCAGGATATATTTTCATCAGAATAAATAACGGTAGAAACTAGAAATGAAAAAGAACAGAAAATAGTTTCATACTATGGATTTAGAACATAGTTTCTAAAGTAATATGTAGTCTAATGTTGGGACTGTTTGGAAGCTGTTTCTAAAAAATGAAGTCTTGTTTCCAAAAATGAAAAGAATTAACTGTGGTTTTAAGTTTCAAACGTTGGTGGTGGTGGGTTTTTTACTTTAATTTCTGCGCTAATTCTTAAAAATAATTTTGATCTTATAATAAAATAAAAAAATATATTTTGGTAGCACGGTGAGGGAGAAAACTGTTCTAAAAAGGATGGGACCTTTTAGCACTAACAGGGAGTTGGGGCTTGATGGGAGGTTGGTTGACAGATTTGGTACTTTTCACCCCAAAGGGGAGAAAAACTGCTAAAGGTTGCCAAGTTAATTGCAAAAGACACAAAAGGTCTTTGTGAGGAAGCTCGAGTATTCTTTCTATTTGCAACTTCGTTTCTAGTGGGGCTGCACTTAACAAAACGGCTGTTTATAGTTTCTTTTTCCAGTAGAGCAGATCTTTGTTTTATTTGTTTCGTTCTAAAGTTTCTTTCTAGACTGAAGAAAGCCATTTTTCAAAACTACCCGAAATATCTCAGAAATTTTTTATGCTATTTCTCAATAGCATACAACTTCTGGAGGAGTTTGGGCATTTAGAAAGAGGAAAACATGATATTACTTTATGTCAAAAGATATGCATGCGGTTCTTGCGGAGATTGATTTCTCCTCTTTTTATGCTTGTGTTTGATTTCTCCGAGTGAATACTAATCTTTAGATTTATGAATTTCCGAGGGATTCTGGTTTGGAGGTTTGGTTGATCTTACAGTTGTGTTATTCATCTTTTTGGATTTCAGCACTGCTGGTTGCCCATTTGGTGAAAGCTGCCACTTTTTGCATTACGTTCCTGGTGGTTATAATGCTGTTGCTCAAATGATGAATCTTGCTCCTGTTGGTTCTCAACCATCCAGAAATATGGCTGCCCCTCCTGTCTCCAACGGCGGGTCCTCTGCTCCGTCCCAAATCAAAACTCGCATGTGCAACAAGTTCAACAGCGCTGAAGGCTGCAAGTTCGGTGATAAATGTAACTTTGCCCATGGAGAGTGGGAACTCGGGAGGCCTACCCCTCCATCTCACGATAATCCCCGTGGTATGGGAGGACATATGGTTGGTCGTATGGGTGGGCGAATGGACCTGCCACCACCAGGTCCTGCTGCAAGCTTTGGCGCTTCAGCTACTGCGAAGATTAGTATAGATGCATCCCTCGCCGGAGCGATCATTGGGAAGGGTGGGATTAACTCGAAACAGATTTGTCGCCAAACGGGTGCCAAACTCTCCATCAGGGACCATGAATCAGACCCAAATCTCAGGAACATAGAACTGGAGGGCACTTTTGAGCAAATTAACGAAGCAAGTGCAATGGTGAGGGAGCTCATTATCACAGTTTCAATGTCAGGACCCGGCAAAGGCCATGGTGCGATGGGAGGAGGAGGCCCTGCTCCTTCAGGTAGCAACTATAAAACAAAGCTATGTGATAATTTTGCAAAAGGTTCTTGTACTTTTGGTGAGAGATGCCATTTTGCGCACGGAGCTGCCGAGTTACGTAAGTCTGGAGTATGATCAAGTTCCCGATTTTGTCGAGCTTTTATTGTTATAAGGGAGTTTTTGCTTTAAAGCGTGTCATTGACGACACGAGTGCGATATTGAAGTTGAAGTTGAGGAGGGTTGGTGGTTCTTGTTCTTGTTATGTTGTAGCTTTATGAGAGTATGTCTTGGTATTTGTTGATTAGAAGATAATTAAGTTAAATCATTTTCTTCGATGTTCATTACATCAGATGTTTTCATAATTTACATAATTTGGTTAAATGTTTGTCCCTTTCAATCGTAGAACAGCAAATAGCTAAACACAGACTTCGATATTCGATATTTTTTGTAAAGACCTTCTCCGATGGACTAAATCGAAATTTTGAGTTGGTTAGATTGGTGACTCGAGCAACTCAAATAACTCAAATAGAGTGTCTAACTCAACCTTCTACTTTCGAGTTGGGTAGGATTAAAACAATCATACTTATTCTTAGTACGTGTTACATTAATAATTAAAATTAAAATTTCATAAAATCAAATGTTAAACATTCACATATTAGAATGCATTACTAATGTCATTTAAAAGCAAATTGTAATCCTATTTTCACGTTTGTTAGGTTGATCCGACCAAAGTTGTTAACCTACGAACCAACCCAAATTTTCATTTTTTCAAAGATCTAACTCAAATTCAAACCAGAAAAAAAAATCCAATTGGGTTGGGTTAGGTAGTTCAAAGAGAACAAAGTTTGTGAAAATCTAGTTTTCTAAACGAACACCTCTCCTTAATTTGTAATCAAAATAATAAAAATTAGTTTTGATGTGAATTTTAATATGAAAAGTTAAAAAGAGAGCGAAAAGTAAATTCAATTGTCTCCTTAATTTGTAATCAAAATAATAAAAATTAGTTTTGATGTGAATTTTAATATGGAAAGTTAAAAGAGCGAAAAGTAAATTCAATTGTAAACGTCTATAAGAGGAGGTGGATTCAAAGATGTTTCAACCCTAATAGAAAATGCACCTATCTATGTGCCCTATATTTCTAAACTAGGTCCAAGTGATTTTTACCTCAATATACATGCATCTCTCGAGTTTTGTAAGTTCAACCAAAATGCTACTTGATTGTTGCCATCCAACTATTTTCAATACTAAGAATTGTAAGTCGAGTTGAACACAACACAGCTTGTATATTGAGGTACTTTAGAGCTTAAGTAATTAAACACATGTATTACAACACTTAAAATGATCAACTTTAATGACTCTAAATATTAGGTACTAAACACAAATCTCATTTTCTTGGTATTTTTTTAGATTGATTTTTTAATGAAAATATGTGCTAAACCAAACCTTTTACTTTTTAACCAATTTTAGATATTGTTATTCATTTATATGTTTTATAGTGTCCTCGCCAACAAGGTAAGTATAACGTGACATTGGGTATAAGTTTTGGGTTCTAATTATGCTAACCCATTTTCGATTTATATAAGTTTTAAACTATCATTTTATACTAAAACAATGGAAAGTATAACATGACATTGGGTATGACATCATAGTTAATTATTAGTTAATTATCATTATCATTGTATAATTATGATGACACTAGATTTGAACTTTTTATAACCGCTTTGAACTGACATCAATCCACAACCATTATTGTAACTTGAATTGAAAGCATTGGAGGATGAACACAAATCATAGCTAAAACCACTTCCTAATAGAAAACATGAGTATCAATTGAACAGAAGTTATATCCCAAGTGACCTAGAGTTAATAAATAATAAGTCTAAACTCGTGAGTTATTTCTATTTGTTAATAAATCTAATTTGTTAAATTATAAGAAAGAATAAATTAAAGAAAAATAATAGATTTATTTAGTACTCCAGGTTGACATCTTTCGAATTTGAGTAGAGATTTATTAGGTTGGCAGCCTTCTTGGGCGGAAATGAGAGCCTCTCCACATGACACCTTCGAATTCTATTGTAGCAGATAATTAATATTGTAAGAATAGTATTTCTGTTCTACAAGGGATTCAATTGACAATTATCTCAGATTTTAAGCTCATGACAATCACAATCACAATGACAATGACAATTGACAACACAACAAATCCAACCATGCAAATCTTTTCTTTGAGTTTAAATCCTCCGGTTTCCTTTTCCTTTTGCTGGGTAATCTTTTGCACAGGCGACCATAAGGAATTTCTTCCATCACGTGGAGAAGTAGCTATTCAAAGGTTTGAGAGGAGGGCCAATAGAATGGAATGCGTGCACAATCCCTTCATCACCCCTAAAGAAATTTGAAGGATTGGCTATTCCTAGACCCTTGTGTTGAATCCTAGGTAGCTAATCAAAGTAGGCTTGGTGGCCTAGCTGTTCGAATCTCGACAGTAATATCTCTCTTAGATTCTCCGGAAGTATTGTAGGGTAAATTGATACTAAAATGGGATATGATTAAGTAACTGCTTACTGATACTTAGGAGGGAAGCCCTTCCTCGTGAGATCCTCCTATAATGTTGGGCGAGGTGCTTCTGCTCTCTTTGATTTAGCAAGCAACCGTCCTGCCTCACCTCTCTCTTTAATGCCTGAGCCCCGGCAGGAAATGATGTATTGAATACACAGAACTCCTTGACTCATGGACTAGTAAATACACCTAGGAATGCCAAGTTGGGGTAGATAGGACCAAAATGCAGTAGTCCTTACATGTCATGAGGCTCCATATAGAAATGTTCGCCTTACCTGTCATCTTATACTAAAACAAACCCAGAAAAAATTAGGTCAACCATGCAAATCGTTGATCAAATTCGCCTAGATTGGTGATCTGTGTTTTTTTTTATTGCACAGAGAACTAAGAGGGGCTTGTAAAATCGTCCAAAGCATCAAATTGCAGACTTATAACCAAAATAGCAACCAACCAACCAACATTCAGCCTTCTCATCTGAATGATATTGAAAATAAAGAAGGTTGCTTTGTTTTACATAAGCGGAACACTTGACAAACTGGCCTCACAATACACACACACAGATATATATATTACAGACAAAAAGGCATGCTTTCAACAAAATTCTCAGTTTCATCAACCTACATCATTACATACTCAATATCATTGGATTTTGTGAAGAAAAAGAAAACTATGAACTCAATCCACAAGCAAATCTCAACTGTTAGAAAACCAATAAGGGAAAGGTGGAATTCACAAGGCCCTGAGATTAGCAAATGCAGAGACATTATTTGTTTCTTTTTCCCCATAAGAATTACAATTGAGATTAGCAAATCCTCTTTTTTTTTTCTTTTCTGATCCCACCACCACGTGCAGAGGGTTAGCTCTCAGCTTAGCAAGTAGAGTACCAAAAAGGAATTGGCGGAAACAACTAGTTGACAATTTAATATAGAAACAGATGGGGAAAAAAAAAATAACTTTTTCCTGCCTTTACCATCATATTTGACTGTAAAACCCACGTTTTCCCGTCCCAATTAATCAGTCACCTTGTAAGCAATAAAGCTGACGGATGTTCCCTGAAGCTGCAGGAACAAAAAGACAACCAAAATAAGCCATTTAACTATCATGCAGCGCAGTAATAACAGGCAAAACATATTACAGGTTGAAAGAGAAGCCATGTTCATAACTACATAAGTGAGATTAATAAACGTCTGTTGTCCTAATAATCTAGCTAGTCTAGTCGCCTCCTTTATCTAATATCTTAAATGCAACCTCAGGAATTTGAGGCCCGTCCTCTCCCCACTCAAATCAACAACTTTTCTCCCTTTTACTTTTACTGCAGATGGTAGGATAGGCTCAATTGAACTCATACTGATAGTATTCTGTTAATTGGTACCGAAATTCTCTATTGATATGCCAAATGAAAACAAGATGGCAAGTAGATCGGAAGTAATGGAATCAAGAAGTTGGGAATAGTGGCAGAAGAATTCAATTTGATCCAAACAGAAAACATCTCTGAATTCCTAAGAGTAACCCAACTTAAGACGGGGAAACCAAGCATCTGGCAAATGCCATTAGCGCAAAAACAGGTTAATGGCCGAGGAATTGGCAAATGTGGGGATGCAACGACCAGTAAAGAAAGAAAGAGGTAGAAAGAGTGGAAGAAAGAGGTTGGTTCACAGGATAAGCTACCATTGTTCAATGGCAGCAACCCCCATGGATGGGATATGAAAAAGTTCAATACTTCGAGGCCAATTGAGCAAAATAATTAGAAACATTATCTCCAGTAGGTTTGTGCGTGATCAGGGAGGCTATGGCAAGATTTTTTTATGGGTCAAAAGGAGGTGACAACTGCAATCGTGGGAGAATTTCAAGCAGGCATTGATCGTTCAATTAAATCTAATCAAGAGGAAACTCTATTGAGTAATTTTTCTCGCTTCATCATGAGAGCAATGTGAGACAACATTCGGCTATAAAGAACATTGGCAGCTTCCTTACTAAAGGTTCTGGACTTTGTAGTCGAGAAACTTCTTTAATAGGATGAAGACGGAGACCAGAGTGGAATTAAGTATGTTCAAGCTTGTGAGCATGAATGCTACAATGGAAGTCTTCCAATTGGCTGAATATCAAAGCATAGTGTCAAAAACAAAATATTTTTCAAGTACTACAGGCTTAGGATGGGCAAATGCTTTTAGCCCAACCTCTTTTCCACATCAAACGAAACAGTTACCAACTAAAGAATGCACAGAACAAAGGACTAGAGTGATGCAACGGGGTGAAAAGTCAACAGTAGCTCTAAGTGTGAAACCTAGTTCAAAAGGGTGTTAGATGTTGAGTTACATCTTCAAAGGTAAAGGGCTATGTTTTTGATCTACAACGAGATTGCTGGTTCAAGAAGACTACAACGAACTATCAAAGCTAGAATAAGGAAATGAAGAGATTGCTGGTTCAAGAAGACTACAACGAGAAAGGGAGCAACATCATTGCAGTTAACATGTTAAAGGACCATCAAATGTTAACGTCTCAACTGTAAGGGTATTCTCCAGCTTCAAAGAACGAAATCCAGGGTGTCTAGATGGAGAAATCTTGGCCACTTAAATTATTGACAATTTCTTTATAGCATAGTTGATGAAAGATAAGGATGAGAACTAGAGATTTTGAATGGATTATGGATTAATCGTGAGGTTATTCAAGCCAGACAGACCTAGCTATGTTTTAAGCTTCTTCATTGTCATCTGCATCCAGTTCTGTGTAATTATTTATATTTAAGATTAACTCAAGTTGGAATTTTAAGCCCTGTTAATTTATGGATTACTTTGTAAGCTTTTCAATAAATCAATAAAA